AAAAAAAATGCAGATTGCAAGAATATCATGCCTTTGTCATCTGAGTCAGTTCAAGACGTAATCGAAACAAAAGTACATATGCAATCATACCTTCCACCTTCCACTAGGAATAGAGACCGAGCGAAGAGAAGTAAAAGAAGTTCGGCTCTGTGTTCGTTGCAATCTTGTCACTGGCTCCTTGCTAACGTCGATAGTTGAAATTCAATTGAGACGGGGATCGAGAGGGAAAGGCAGGGTCGAGCAAGGGCAAACGGTGTAGAGAGGGGAAGCGAAGTAGGTGTGCGGGATTTGTCGCGAGGGAGAAAGGGACGAATCGGGCGGAGCGGAGGAAGGAGGAGGTTGCGGCGTCGGTGCGGGAGAAGAGCAGCGTCGAGCGACTCTTCTGTCGCGTACCCGAGAGGGAGGAGATAGCGGGGGAAGAAGGAGGTTGCGTCGGTGCGGGAAGGATCGGGATCGAACAGAGCCGAGGATGGGGTGCAGAGACGGGTCTCAAATCGTGCCGAGAGAGAGGAGATGAGCAGCGGGAGTCTCGAGCGCGAGGAAGATCAAAAAACAGGAGGCGTCTCGAGCGCGAGGAAGATAAGCAGGAGGAGTCCCGTTACAGATGCAATGGAGGGGGATATTAAATTCCTTCCATACAGGAGCAGTTATATTAGGTAAATATTAACTCCTAATTAAATCTAATTAAGATGAAATTTGGAGGTAAAATTTAAATTTTAAAAATTTGAAATTTGAAAGTCCTGGCTTGCGTTCAGCCTGTGTCGAGCTCGAATTGAGCCCGGGCTGAACCCAAACCCTTGCCCCGCTGATTTAGAAGAAACGTGCATCGATTTTCGTGCAGTTCGCGCAAGTGTGGAACCACAGCAATATGGGTGTCCCTCCTAGCTAAAATCGACGTTCCAGACGCGTCGGCGCGGTCCGTTTCGTCATCCGGGATCGTCCAGACGAGTTTGCCGGCGGGCGAGTCAATTCAAGTCAAAGTCGTATGGGGTGCAGAGAGTGCGTGAAATGCGGCGTTCGCGAGTAATCGAGTCACAAAGGGTTCACCTAAGGCTGTTGATCCTATAGGAACTCAATTTCGGGCCCTCTACATGTTGGTCCTTAGCCCTTGCAACTAAAAGTTGAGTGCTTGGAACCACTCGTGCGAGTTCTTCACAAAAATGAGTCAAGAAGTGGCTTGAAGTTCTACTGGAGGTGGGCTCCATCGCTAGTCCGCTAGGATGGTCAATAAGAACTCCTAAAGCTAGATCCTAGGTTCTAAGAGTAGGAGACTAAGACCTCACTAAAAATGAGGTCAACAAGGGTTCAATAGTGACTACAAGTTACTGGCATTGAGGACTGGCCCTGGGCCAGGAAATTCTATCCTTTCAGCTAAACTTGTAATCGAGCGTATAATTGGTGTTTTCAAAGGAAAGGAGAAGTTTTAATGTGAAAAAGAATATAGCAGTAATGATTTGCTTACTTAAAACGAATGCAACTAGAAATGACCACGTATGACTGTTAATATAATCCTAGCAAAAATAGTCGCTAAGAAGACATGGATTCTGACAATCATGGGCATGTGAAAGAAGACATGGATTAAATTGCTGTGGTAAATATGTGCGTTCAAGGATAAAAACCAAAATTTACCAATCATCGAGTACAATGAATCCCAAAATCCTCAGGCCCAAACTACACAAGTTATTGCTAGTAAAAATTCTCAAAATGACATTTATATTCAAAGAGTGACCAGATAAATGGTGAGAAACAACATGAGCACTTTATGAAGTGATACGAAAAGATAAGAAAATATATACACAGCAGTTGTGAAATGGCAAAAATCTTACTTCGACAATCCATCAAAAAGATCTTCTTCAAGTTGTTCATCATAATAAACAAGAGAACTTTTACCATGCCTCACCCCAGAAGGAGAGCGCACAATCTTTCCTGTAAAACAACAAAGAACCTCTATAAAACTTCATAGCATTGTTTACATATACAGCAGTGCAGAAGATGCAAAACAAATGATACAAACCTCCAAAGGCCTCTCCAATGCATTGCAAGCCCATGCAAACACCAAATAAAGGTATGGAAGGCCCCAGTTCAACAACAGTTTGCAATGAGATCCCTGAATCTTGCGGTGCACCTGAAACAAAAGACCATGTTTACATCTAGATGAGAGTATAACAAAAATGGCAACATTTTTTAACAGGCAAAACTTACCAGGTCCAGGAGAGATAAGTATCCCCTTTGGGTTTTTCCTTAAAAAAGCAAAGTCATTTTTAAATCATCAGCAGACACAAAAAAGCTAATTTTTAAGAAAAATATCAATTTTAATAAATACATCTCATGAACAAAACTTATTTAATTCAAATTTTAAAAAGAAAAAAAAACCTTCTTATGTCCTCTACAGTAAGCTCATCATTGCGGAATACTTCAAAGTCAACTCCCAGCTCTCCAATATACTAATTAGAGAATTCACGAAATTCAGATATGGAATAATATTATGAGGCAATAATTTAAAAATTAGTAATTCAGTAACAATAACATTCATTACAGCGGTTCCAGTCAGTAAGCATAAATAAATCTTTACAGTGAAACAGGACTATCAATATGCAAAAAGTAGTTATATTGTGTCTTACATAGTTTTGAGCCTCAAGGACAATAAATTGAACAGAATTGATGAAAGGTATAAGAAATCAGCGAAGAGAGGATATAGAGGGTCTACGTTAGGACAATCCTGAATGGCTGATGCAGGGCATTTTCAAGTTCAAGAGATTACAAGCTATATGATGAAATGCATCAAATCATGCAAATACATATGATTCGCTCATCACAAGCTCTTAACTCTAACAAAGTATTGGTTACATTTGATGAGATAAAAAATACAAAGAAATACAAATAACTAGACTACTGCATAGTTTGACTAATAAATTCCCGATTTCTGCTAACAAATCCAAAATATACTTCCATTGAGATAGAGAGATGCCCTTCTTTCTCCTTGATACTTCAATCACCAAAAAGTATTTCAAGAAACCTAGATTGTTAGTGTTGAACTGATTTTGGAGAAATGATTTCACCGATAAGCTATATAATGAAATGCATCAAATCATGCAAATACATATGATTCGCTCATCACAAGCTCTTAACTCTAACAAAGTATTGGTTACATTTGATGAGATAAAAAATACAAAGAAATACAAATAACTAGACTACTGCATAGTTTGACTAATAAATTCCCGATTTCTGCTAACAAATCCAAAATATACTTCCATTGAGATAGAGAGATGCCCTTCTTTCTCCTTGATACTTCAATCACCAAAAAGTATTTCAAGAAACCTAGATTGTTAGTGTTGAACTGATTTTGGAGAAATGATTTCACTGATAAGATTCATTGTACATCGCTTCCAGTAATAATAATAACATCAATATAAACCCCTAATAGAATAATCCAATGAGCAATTTTCTTGTAGAATACATTGTGATCACTTTTACTTTTATGTAACTCAAACTATTCTAATGCTTGGCTTAATTTTTCAAACCGCGCCTAAGAACTTTGCTTCAATCCATATAATGATATTCGAAGACAGCATACTTTCCCGGACTCCCACTTTGCAACAAACCAAGGAGGTTGATCCATATAAACTTCTTCTAAAATATCACATTGTAGAAAGACATTCTTCACGTAAGCTGGTGCAAGGGAAATTTATTAATTGTAGCCAAAGACAAAAATAAGAGAGCTAAAGTTAACTTAGCTACAAAAGAGAATGTGTTCAAGTAATCAATCCATAAGTTTGAGTATAGCCCTTAGCGAATAGCCAAGCTTTAGACAAGCTACAGATCCATCAAAGTGAAACTTAATTGCAAAATCCCATTTAGAACCAACACTCTTCTTGCAAGAAGATATTTCAACTAGTTCTCAAGCTCCATTTTCAGTTAAAGCATTCATTTCATCAAGCATCACCGCCGCCCACCCATAATGGGACACAATGATATATGGCTTCTCGAACATATTTTGGGACCTCAACAGAGTCAAGAGAAGCAATAAAGAGAAAGAAGTAAAAGATAATTGATTATAGTTAACATGAATAAATGGGATAAGCGCATTGACGTTTAGCTCTTTGAAGAGCAATAGGTAAACCAAGGTCGCTAGGAGTAGAATCCGCTGAAGAAGAAGTACCAGTGTCGGACAAGGATCAAGGGGATGAGGTCTTCTCGAGTAAGCAATAGTAATAAGTGGTCTAGGATGAGGCACTAGTGAAGGAAGTGGAGCTGAACTGATGATGTGTTACATTAACTCATCAAAATTTTGTAAGGATTTAGAAGCGATAAGTCGTGAAAGAATGGTGTTTGTCATGAAACGTAACATGAGCAAAGACCATGCAATTGTTTAAGAGGGAGGAAAAACATTGATATCCTTTTTGCAAACAAGGTAACCTAACAAGACACAACTTAATGACTTAGAGTTTCAGTTTAACTTGTGGACGGGAATCACGAACAAAACAAGTATACCTAAATATACATGATTCAATGAGAAAGTGATGGTTGGAAATAAAACTTGGAAGAATATTTGGCTTTGTAAAATAGTAAAGGGCATCTGATAGATCAAGAAACATGCATTAAGAACTACATAAACCTAGAATTATTATGGTAGATTAATTTGAAACAAAAGAGCTCTAACTGCATCAAGAAGATGTCTATTTTTTCTTTCAGCTGCTCTATTTTGGGATAAAGTATCGACACAGGATAATTGACGAATCATCCTATTTTGTGTCATGTATATCTGAAATGGTGCAGAGAAATATGCATTGATATTGTCAGTTCTCAAAATTATTACAGGAATATTGAATTATGGTTTAATTTTAGCAAAAAAAAATTGAAAATATGACAGTAACTCAGTACAAGATTTCATACAATAAAGCTAATCATATAAGAAAAACCATCCACAAAAGTGAAAAAAATATTGAAATATATTACATAAAACACGACAAGGTCCCCATCATAATGAATCAACCCAAAATTATGACTATCTTTTCTTATTAATTTTGCGAGCAGAAGATAAACGATATTCTTTTGTAAATTGACACGACCAACAATTTAAAGATGATAATTGTTGAAACTGAAGTATAATTTTTTAGCATCGGTAGTGATGGATGCCCTAATCAATAATGAATCTCAAATGGAGTAAGGTGATAGAACAAGCTATGGCTCGAAGTAGTTATCCAACATATATAGCCCCATTTTAACTACAAGTGATCAATTTATGAGTAGAATAAACTCAAAAGGTTAAACTATCAACTTGCAATCATGTCAACATGCAATCACATAACAAATTTCACCAACTAGCATAAAATTCAATTCAAAAGAAGAAAAAAATTTAGCCCTACTCATTTCGGATGAAAACAACGCATATTCTATTGCACAATCCAAAGTAACAATGTTAGAACGATCTCACCAAGTTTCTTCACCAAATTACACGAAAGTACAATACAATCTCTGAATTTCCACCCAATTTGAGTACAAAAATGTATACACACATATGCTTGCACTTGTTCTCCCTCGGAAGAACTCTCATACTCTCCTAAGATTCCTCCAACGAATCCTATTGTCAGCTAAAAATGTTCTTTGAGGACTCCCTCCTGACTTTTCTTTCTTCCTCTAGACGTCACTCCAAGGGTAAAACATTGCACTACTGTGGAGGAGCAAAGCCCTTATTCATTCAAAATTTATACTATTTGTAGCCACGGATCACCATCAGGACAGAGAATTACTGCAAATCCCTAAATTGGTTCGCCTAGCATCGAAGTTCTTCGCCGCAGCGTTAGAGTTTTTCTCTCTTTGAATCTCCATCACACCTAAATCCCATAGGTGACGCCTTGGCGCCATAAGAAGTGTTGCGCCAATTTGGAAGGGGCGCCTAGACGACTCAGAGATAGCACCTTGGCGCCTCCTCATTGTGGCCGCCTATGCACCTCTTGTTCGGTGCCTTAGCACCTAATGCTTGGTTTGGGGTCATGGAGAGAGGCGTTGTCACGCCGTTTTGGGCGTGGGTACGCCTAATCTAAGGCCAAATGCCTCCTAGCTCTGTTTAAGCTTTTAAGTCAAGTATCCTATAAATAACATAAAAAATACTTGAAAGAGCATAAATATGATTCAAAAAGTGAAAATACTGTAGGAAAACACGGGATAATATTTTGCATATTTTACACACATAAACGATGCAAACGGAGCCAAACAACAAGCGATGGAAGAAGAGAAAGATTTGAATAGTGCAAACGAAAATGCAAGATGTAGAAGGAGCAGAACGACACTGAAGAAGAGATTGAAACAGACGAATCTGATCGACGCAGACTACGCTGCGGCGCTGAACAACAAATGACACGGATAAGGCTGCACTTACAGGCGTGAAACGAAGCCAAACTAAGGGGGACGAGTCATGTGTGGCTAAGATACAATATGAAGGGAAGCAACTCTTTGTTCTCTTTCAATTGAAAACAAATGTTACATATTTATATGCACTCCCATCTTTATAGATTAGAAACATTATTAATATAGAAAAGATCCTGTAATTAGATCTTCTCTAATTAGATTACCTAATATCAAGCTTCTTAATATACAAATTTTTTAATATACAAGCTTTAGATTTATTACTTTCCATAACAATAAGAAAAATAGCAATTGCATCACTCTTAATTTTAGTAAAAAGATTCATGAAACATTAGTGCATCCATCGATAAAGAACAAACCACCAACCCTCAAAAAAGTCAAGTGGAAAAAATGGACATCGGTAGTTAACAAATAACATAATGCAATTCTCCAAAAAGATTTCCTTTGAATAAAAAAGAAAACATGATACTGTGTAATAAAGAATTTCTTTAATAGAATTAAGAGATTTGAGAAAAGATATAACATTTAAAATTGAATGGATTTTTCTTGATCATCAGATTCTCAAAGACAATATGAAGGATAAAACACATGCTGCACTTGAGATCTTAGCTTTTAAATAAATAATAGATTGCTAAATAATTTAGGTACATCAATGAAATTTCAGAAAATGAAAGACCCGCTTATAGTATATCCTTGATTGACCATGTTGACCATCACAATTTCTTGCTGTTAAGAGAAGCGGAATATAAAACAAGTTCATATGAGGAATTGACCATATGACATGTAGCTCATAAATCAATCATCCAAGAGATGAAAAATGGGCATCTATAAGACTTTGAGGTATAATATGATAAGAGAATACTTGAGGACTCAAACATATTGATACTTATTGTAGATATTATTTTTCGGAAGTCCCTAGCAAGCCATGTTTTATCTTTTTTTTATGCCTTACAAATGCCCAATTCTCTATTTCATTTAAGAACATGCAAACCAATATCAATCACTTTATATAATAATTTACATTCAACCAATATGTTAAGTAGATGTTTTGCAACTCTCTAGTTGAATTTAGATGGTATCTCTCAATTCTAAAGATGTGGTTACCATTATTATTATTGCAATCTATGGAAAAAGAAACTAAGACTTTGTTCACAAGAAAAAAAACAAAAGAAAAGAAATGCAAAAATACAAAATGAGAATAATTTGTGGCAATGCAGCCAGAAAGGTTGCAACAATAGAAATGCTACAGAAATTTAATAATGAAAGTTGCATTTAAAAGAAAATAGGAAAAAAGCACAAGTGCAACAATGAAGGCCATGGAACATTTGTTATGCAATAATGAAGTATGTAGTAATGAACATACTGGAAAGAGCAGAGCTCTAATATATAAAATTGGAGAGAATTCATTGAATATTTTATTTTGATCTTTGTGTGATATTTCTACAACTGTAGCAGAACTTCAATTAGGAAATATATAAAATCTGAAAATAATAATTACAATAATCCATCGATTGATGAATAGACAACAGGGAACCCACAAATTTATGAGGTGATGGTAGAAGAAGAAGTCAAGGGGGCGAAAATCTTGATAAGTGTGGTGGATCTCAACTTGTGGAACTTATGCAGGCATTTCAAAATAGTTAATAAAATCCTTCAGCACTGACTATTGGTAATAGACTATGAAATTAAAAGTACATAGTGAATGAATTCAAGACTCTCTAATCACAGAAAGTGGAATCTAAAGTTAGACAAATTTTGGAATTCTAACTCATCTTTCTATCTTTCAAATGGCAAATCACTAAATATCAATTCATATCTACTTCTTCACAATTGCCAAGTCATTTTTCTGGTTTAGCTAATACAAGAATCATGCACAAGTTCATTAGTATCAGGCCGTAATATTTTATCCCTAAACTTTCTGATGAAAAGATTCAGAAATATAACGATTGAATTTCTAATTAATTGTGATGTGGGTGAAACAATGCTAGATCTTACACTTTTACCATTCCATTACTCATGCATTTGTCAGGATATCTTTTTCTAATTATTTTATTTCTTCTCAATTTACCTGCCATGGGACATGTTGTCTTTATCGCATCGCAAGAACTGTTGAGATTTACTGTCCCATTTTCATCAACGGAAAAAGAAAAAAAAAGAATCTCGGTTTCAATCCTCGCATGTGTGCTTAATAATTTTAGTAGCATTACTAAGCTGATAGTACTTCATCATCATCAAACCCAGGGCTGATCTCATAGTTCCTATTAACAAAAGAATAAAAGAAGTATTGATGGTCCTGACAGATCAAAGTAACAACAAACTTCTGACCATCTTACCAAAATGCAATATACATGCCCAGCTTTTCAAAACATAAACCCGTTAGGACTCATCGACTCAATCAGAAAGAGCATGTTCCAGGAAATATTTTATAATCCAGTCAACCTAACTTAAATTCCACTAGAGAATAGAATAGCCTCGTTTGTCTTTCCCGCAGATGACAGAACAAATCAAAGAAAAAAAAAAACAAAGCCACTGCTATTTCCAATCAACAAGAAGCAACCTACTAAAGAAGAAACACGTCACAATCTTCCGAAACCAAAACCCATTCAAACAAACCTGGCAAAGATTGTAAGTGAAGCTATCATAATTGTCTATAACAATTATCGGTCGAACATCTTTCTTCTCACCGGCCGAAACCCTAGCACTCTCAGCCGATACACCCGCCCGCACTGCAGCGATCCCAATGCGCGCTTTCCAAGTCCCTAAAACACCACAAGCTACCAAACCATCATCAAAACGAATTAAGAAACGAACGGAAGATATAGGTTCCAGTAAAATCGCTCAAACCCCGAGATGAGAGACTGCGAGGCGGCGCAGTGATGCATGGGACTTTGTAAAATGACGGGAGGAAGGAGGCAGCGGCAGTCATCGTGGGAAGGAGTTGGAAGCGAGGGAGAGGTGAATGGGAAATGCAAGAAAAAGAATGGAGAAGGGAGAAGAAAGAGGGGGTATATATAGATGCAATGAGAGGGTTTTCTGTCTAGTCGCAGCTTCCATGCTAATGGCCGGCGAGCGCGAGGCCTTTCAGTTATGATTCTTGATCACTTCGCTCTTCTTCCCCACGCTCCACCATTGCAAGATTCCAGCTTCCTCAGGGGCTAAGGACTGTTTGGCTGCTAGTAAGAGTTTGTTAGGGGTGGTAAATCCGTGAATTTGGAATTTGTAAATTTTGAATTGTATAGCATGATAGTGATTAAAGTCGACTAAACTTTATTGAATTATTTGATGGTTCATTTTAAAATTTAAAGGTCAGTTTGGAATATACTTTAGTCTCTATTGCTTTCCAAATGGTCATCTTTTCTTTTCTTTTTTTCTTTTTTTTTTTTGTCAAAACTGCATTTTATCTGTATTTTCAAAAAATTGTCGTCAAATCCTACGTTTTCCGATCATATTTTACTACCTGTAATGACTGCTAGAAAGCTGGGTGAATTTTTCAAAAAAAAAAACAAAATTAAAAATTATAGCAGTCACTGTAGTATTTTGAACAGCAACTTCTTCTTCACAAGTTTCACAGCTGCTTATTCAAACAACTGCAGTTGCCCCAAACAGACCCTTCGGAGAACTATTTTCTGGTTGTTTTTTTAGAATTTTCTGTAGAAGAAAACCGTTTTTTTTTTTCAACATGAACTCTCAAAGTGTGATGACTGTCAGAAAAATGTCCAACTTTTTAAAAATAAAATAAATTTATAATAGTTGTTTCTTAAAAAACTGTTTTTTTTCCTACAACAGTTTCATAGTTGTTTCTCCAAACAGTTACAGCTGCCCCAAAGATACCATAAATTTATTATTTCAGACAAAATTTTAAAAATAAGTATTAATAACAAAATTAAGGGGCATTTAGATGCATACAAGTTTAAAATCCAACTCTTATTTATTTATATATCTAGTACTTAAATGTTTTTTACTTTTTTTATATTTGAATCCTCTACAATTTTCATGTCACATCAAAAATATAACTAAAAATTGAAGTTTAGGTGTAAGTTGTGTAAATACATCAGACTTGAGTGGTATGCATGCAAATTTTCCTAAAATTGCTTTATCACAATTAGTATAAATAGTATTATTATTAATTTTAAGTTCTTACACACATAACACTCAAAACTTTCATATTTACATATCTCACCCCTAAACTTTCATATCTACAAACATCATATGAAAAATAGCACTCATTATCATCTTCTAATAATCAAATCCATATTTTCATCCATAAATAATGTGTTCTCTGTGTAAAAATCAAAGTTTCGGTGAGAGACAGAAAAATCAATAACAATTGGGTGCTATATCTATAATTTTCCCTAATCATTAATTATTAAACTAGTAACTTAATATATATATATATTTTTTTTTATGTGTGCCCATTAAATCATAAATGACATTTTTTCCTCACGAGATTTTTGGTTTTCCTCATGTGATCCTCTGTGTTTGTTTGGGATTTGTGATTTATCTTTTGTAGTATTCTGGTTGAATTTCAAACTGTTGATCTGATAAGCTGGGAGAACTTCATATGATACTTTAGCTTGGATTTTAGCAAGCTTCCATCTTCTATATGAATCGGAATCCATATGTATCATTTTTTTAATTATCAGGTTTCTTAAGTAGCTGCTAAGGAGATTTTGTAGTTGGCGGCCTTTACAAAGCTTTTTGATGTGTTGATGTATCACCACTAGATTCTAAGTGGTAGCTAGAATTGACACTTTGAATTTTAATGATGCTTATGACAGGGAATTCCAATTAATTGTTGGCTGCTAGTTACTCTACGACATACCTAGTGATATTGAGATAAAATATTATATTTAAAATGAGTTGTATAAATTATATCACTCAAGATTTACCACGGTTAAATATTATTCACTATGTATAAACGCAAGTGCACGTATAGCTCAAGTAATATAACATTTTCTTTAAACCCAGAGCATCGAACCCACGGGAAAGCCCGTTAATTTTAAATGACTTTAGAAAAGTTCTAGCCAATTTTAAAAAGTCTTAGCTTGGAAATTTATTTGATGCAAAATGTGTTAGGGGATCCTACTAAACTACTTCTACTCTTCTAAGTTCCAAATAAGCTAAATACACTAAGCAAAATGAAGCAACAAATTCAAGCTAATTAGATGTTCCCTCCACTTGTAATGAAACTAGTAGCTAGTGTAGGTGTAAATCAAGTAGAATTTTTAAATAAACATGTGACAAATAGGAGCATAAATCTTATTTTACCCTCTTCTAAGTGCATAAAGAAGTTAATAGACCTAGTTTCAATTCCTTAAACCCTATATTACATTGGTTATCATTCTAGCCTGTCTCCCTATAGTCACCAAATCATGCCCTCAATTTGGCTAACCTAGCTTTATTTCATTAAATCCTAGATCAAATTGGTTAGGATTCTAGCCTGTCACCCTAGAGTCCCCAATGTACACTCATTACAATTCATCTTCCTATTTATTTGCACTGACCTAATGACTACTCTTCCTTCACCCTATAGGTAAGTGTCGTATTCACTAGTTGTTTAAAGTCATAGCCCTCCCGGATCATTATGGGTTCACAATAGATTTTAACATCATAAACAAGCAATTTGCAAAGTAAATTAAGTACGTATGAAATACCATCACGTTCCAAAAAGTAACATTATTCTACTTTAATTTAACACATGTTGATAATCCATTACAAGAGGAGGGAGAAAAAAAATTACTCAAATTGCATTAAGAAAACAAGATGACACATCATCTTATAACACATCAAAGTCAAATACAATGAAATAATTTGATAAAAGACAATGTAAGCAGAATATACTTATATTTTTTCCTGAGAAATGAAGAAGAGCTACACCCCAAAGTGTTCTCCTTGCAATCTTATAATAATTATTTACACCTCTCACCGATTTTTGGGTAAAATACAGGAAAGAAAAGAAAATATCTCACTTTTTCTTCAATTCCCTGCAGTGTTCTATGCTTCCTTGACTTCTATAATGTTCTCCTCTAATTTTTGTCATGAATCCTTGAAGAAAAAGCCTCCATTTCATGTGAAAAACTACTGGAAAATTGTTCATGCAGTTATGTTGCCTAAGTGCCCAACTGTGGCACCTAGCGCCACTCCCTTTGTTAGCTGACATACCAGTATGTGACACTTAAGTGCCAGAGTTTTTGGATTCTGACGCCTAGGTGCCAAAAGTTGGCGCCTAGGCGCCAATTCAGAGGTGAGCTCCTTCCTCCAATTCACTCAATTTCGCTCCAATTCGCTCCACTTATTCACCTATTATACTTGCAATAAAAAGCATAAAAATACCATCTTTTAAAGTATAATTTAATTCAAAAACTTACGTTAAATGTAAGGGAATTTAAGCATGCTAAAAGACATATCAGTTGCATTAGAGAAAGATTTGAATGATACTTCATTCTCTTGTCTTCCATCTTGTATGAACCTCTTGGTACCTGTATTGGTGGTGATCAATGTGTTAACTTATTGCTTTTTTGTCTAAAAAACAAGTGGGTAATGTGGTTGTGTGTGCTGTCGGTGTTCTGAGTATGTGTGTTGTGGCTGTGGAGTAGAGGATTGTAATTGGTGGGAATATTTTGGATATGTCTTATATGTTATGATGCAATGATTCTTTTTACTCATTGTTATGTGGGGATTTTCTTTTATGATGCTCGTATATTGCTGCCTGATTTTTGGGGGTTACTTTTGCTGCACTTTACTTCATTTTTAGCTTGTTGGTTTGTTTTGTTTCATCAATTTGGCATAAAACTTGGAACACTGATATAGAGAGAAGTTTTATTTATAATGAGGGGGTTAGGCTTGCCCTTTGGTTGGCCATGACTGGCTTTATTAGTTGTTGATGGGCTCAAACCTCCTCTCCAAAATTGTGGAGGCTATTATATGTGGTCATGTCGGATAGGCCTTATCTTAGAATTCATTGCTTTAATTTTTTTTTTTTGTTATATGAAGGGGCTTTCCTTTTTTTGTTTGTTTTTTGCATCCTGTGCTGGGGTTTTTTTTTTAGGGGTGCAGGTATTTTTTTGGTGTTGTTTTTTCTTTATGTTTTACAAATGTAGCATGGTTTTATTTTGGTATTTTCTTCTCTAGAATTGTTCATGAGACTATCTTGTTGTGGTGGCCTGCAGTATATCTTCGAGCTAGGGTGTGGCTTTGTATGGTGGTTGAACTTGGATGTGGTTGTGTGAGGTGGAAGGGCTCTTGTGGATATGGCTGTGATGCGGGGTGGTTCTGATGGCTCTCTGGAAATTGGTTTGAGGCTGTGTGGCGGTTGTGATGGAGAGGTGATCGGGGTTTGGTTGTGGTTGTGATGGGAGGTGCTTTCATGTTTTTTCTTCCCAATTTTGTTTTTTTAATTTCTTAGTTGAAGTGTGTCGGCACTATTTTTGGTGTGGGGTTTGCCCGTAAGAAGCTGTCGGCTATCGGAATTGAAATCTCGTTGCCTGCTTCGGAAGGATGTTTTTTTTTTAAAAAAAAAATTTAGTTTTGAAAAAGATGAAGTCAAACTGACCCCATAATTTTCATAGTTTAGATGAAAGAGCACTTTATCTCAAATCATGTATCTATCCCGAAGGATGAACACAAGAATTGAGAGTGAGGCTCGATCAAATAAACTAAAGAAAGTTATGACATCCGTTTGGTCTGTGAAACCAATATATTGGCCGACAAATTCCCCTATTTAATATAAGGAATTAAATAGGGTTTATATTGTGCTGGGTTCGGGATAAACTTCCTATAGGGGCAAGCCCCTATAGTTAATTACATCTTAAGTAACAAAAGTTACCTAAGAATACTCTCGATAAAAGTCAAGAAAAATTATCTTCAAGGAGTTCAAATGGTAAGGAAATTTCAAAGATATTGGACTAAGAAGTGTGAAGGGGGATTGATTCAAATTTGGAACATTTTATTTTGGAGTCCAAAAGAGGAAACACTAGAGGATGCCACAGATCCGAAGGAGAACTTCGGTGACTTCCTAAGCTATCCTATTAT